CTGATTAATTTGTCTAATCATACAGAAAAAAAATTACTAAGCAGCTACTGTAAAGATGGAGAATAATGGAGAATAATGATCCCATAATTCAACAGCAATTTTAAATGAAAAAAAATTTTGTTTTTTCGTCTGCTTCATACATATCATCAGTATATCAGGGAAAGCGTTTATTCATTTCAACATTAATTGTCATCTTATCTGTGGCTACATTACTACCGAACAGGAAGGGTTTCCTCCTCTCTCTCCCATATAATGTTTATTTATATGCTATTGAACTGTGGCAGTCCTAAAACTGAGAGGTGAGAGAACTCTTTGAGAAGATTACAGTAAAAATAGTACAAAAATATGGAGGGGTTTAAAGCACACATTAACTATCCAAAAGTTCTGTGCCAAAATAGAAAATGTTGTTTAGAAGAGATCTGTTAACTACTACTTCCTTTAAAATGGGGTATCTTATGGATACTGAGGGTCATTAAGTCCCTGAATGGTTCTATAATGTTCCTAATATTCCTAAATTTTTAGTGATTACAAAGAAAGAAATCACTGACACATTTCAATTGTATTTGAATGACTACTGCTATATTAGCATCAAAATTATAACAATTGTTTTTGAGGAAATACTGTTGAAAGACAAGTCATATATATGTGCAGAATTTTACAGTTAATGAAAAAAGTTGACCTTTATTCTAGTGCAAATTTTTAATGCGTAATTATTAAATGAGGCAATATTCAATTTTTCATAGGTATGGGCACCTTATAGATTTCAGTTACAATGGCTTTCTGGATACTTGCCCAGTATTTTCTGGATACTTTATTACTTTGAGTAATAAAACAAAAATTTGGATATTGTATTTTTTGAGACATGTCTGGAGGATGTATTAGAAAAGGCTTTCAGGGGTGACTTTTCAGCAATTTCAGTTGCCAATCATAATCTGTCAAAAATAGCTTTCTCCCTCCATCATCACGTTAATTGATATTAACTATAAGACCACTTAATATACAAATATATATGTAAATATATAGCTAAAAGTTTTCCATAACTTTATTTTGAATGCTGAAGGATGTAGGATTTTGTAGTAGTAAAATCTTGTCAGCAATTTCCTTTTGAAATATTTATTTTATATATTTTAAAGCAGATAACATTTATTCATTAACATTTAAATGCAAAACATTTTGCTCTCCCTTTCTTTGCTGGCTCCCGTTTGTAGGGTATCTTCAGTCTCTGAAAGCCAGAAAGTGTTACATACAGAATTAGTTTAGGGAAGGTGAAATAATTAAGTGGTTTCCTTATCTGTGATAATGTTTCTTGTACTCGTTACCAGAATTAGTTAGATACAAATTTGCAAAACAAAAATACTTTTTTTTCTTTATTTCTTTCATTATTCACACGGCATTTCCAAACCCCAAAGATAACATTATTTATTGGATTGATTCACTGAATTTCTAATAAAGGTGGAAAGTCCAGGCACTGACAGTCAAAACAGCCTAAATTTTGTGAGTGTGATCTATATATTTTGATCATCGCTATCCTGTCACAGAACTAATGAATGTGGAAAATGACCACCAAAAAGATACCAAACTAAGAAGAGAAAGAACACTGCATGCTGGAATTCTTAAAATAATGGCAGACCAAACCACAGAGTATGTATGCAAAAACCAAAGGTTAGTAAATAATGATTCTGCTAAAATAATAGATAATATTAATTCATAGCTAGAAACTTATTTTATAGACTTCAAATAAATGAAAGAAAATGTGGAAAAAACTCATTTCATTACATGAATTTTCACTTGCTGCTTTGATTTTATCTTTAGCTTGCAGCAATACAGAACTAGCAAGTCTATAGCTGATCCTGGTAAAAAACTGGATGATCAGGTGTGTTTTTCAAGTTAACATATTCTTAGTAATCTTGAGCAATAAATGTAGTCCTCCACTTAGAAATAGTCTAATTTAATAAGACAGGTAACTCATTAGAAATATGAAATACTCAAATGTAGATTTGCGAGTAATTGAGAAAAGTTAATTCATGCACTGCTACTTAGCAGATTTGCTAATGAAAAATCAGTTGTATTTCCAAACAATGAAATAATCAGAAGTTACACCTCTGGTTATAATTTATCAGGAACTACATATGCAATAACCATTTCACTCTTATTAATGTTAGCTGATTTTTTTTTTTACAGTTTCTTGACAGTAACATTTTATTGTTTTTACTGGTGACATTTTTATAATTTCATATTTCCTATGGGATAAATTTGTCTTCTCTCAAGCCAAAAAAACTATAAAAACTATAAAATCCTTTAAAACATGGATGTGACATAGTCATAGTATCAGAATAAGAACATATTTAGGAAGACTCAGCACCCACATGCAATCATACAGCATAATAGCCATCACTGTTAACTGTCACCTGTAAGCTCTTGTGCAGAAGTGATTGTAGTGGGGTCTTACGAAAATAATTAAATTGAAAATCTGCTATTATAAATTTTAGCTTAGAAATTGGCAGTCCAGGTTTTGTAAGCAATGAGCCAGATGGCCATTTTAAGGCCCATTATTCCTGGTTTTGCATGGGAGTGTCAGTAATTTGTGGGATTATGGACATGGATAAGAACAAGTAGCAATAGTCCATGTTTTTGTCTGCATGTTCTCTGTGATGTAAGTGTTCAGTGTCTTCTGTGTCCTGATTTTATGTTTTATTTGCAGAAGTCCAGCTGTTTGTAATTTAGTAATCGTTTGTACTGGTAACAGAATTCAAAAATCTTATATGCAGAATTCAAAATCAGCCCTCCCGTTCATTCAGGGCATATGACTAATGTAACTATTCTGAATTATGAGTTATGTACTTACAGTTGTGTCTTTTGACTCTACAGGCAGATGAAAACAAGCAAAATCATCTTACTTGTCCAAGAGAATATACTTTACCTCCTAGTCCACCTTTTCTGGCGCTTTCTGTAAATCCAGCTCAAGTTCCTGCAATTCAGGCAGCAAGTGAGTATAAGATTCCAAGAAATTGCAGGCAAGTGAACATTTAATCAAGAAGGAGTAGTTAATGAAGACAGAAATACCTATACCTACTTTATGAAAGAATTTGTACATATATTCATTCACAGTATTGTTACAAATTTTAATTTGTGGTTGGAAAATTCCAGGCCTTTATAATTGCATAGAGCATGGCAGGTTCCCAGTGCTAGAAAACTCATCTTACGGACTTGGGGATGGAAGGAGAAGAGGAGGTCGGTCAAATGAAATACTGCTAGCTCAAGTGAGAATGTAGCAAAGAAAACCACTAGTAGTATTGCAGAGGATCCTACACTAGTGAGAAGATAAGGGATTGACCTGTTGTTGCAAAGTAGTGAAAGTTTATCTTGCCTATGACCAGCTGGAGTTTAAGGAAAGGTTTTGCTACAGTTTATATCACACAGTATTTTGAGGAGGAAATAGTCTTTTGGAGGCTTTTTCAAATGTATGCAGTGAATATAGGTATCTTTAATATATAGTTTTAGTGATACATTGTCTAGGCATATAAAAGTGTGTTTACTTGTTTGTGTGTGTGTCTGAATGCCTGGATGCATGCTGTATTTGTCACTTTTTTCTAATACACCAGCCATTCTTAAAAGTTAGAGATAGTTTATTAAAATAGAAAAATTTCTACTGCCTGTTCTGACAGAGCTTTTGGCGTGATTTATGATGGGTGCATTACAAAAATCTTGATTGATCCTTCCGACTTACAGTATCCAGATGCTTGCTAAGTATAATTATAATATCTTTAGAAAACAAGATGGTAGAACAGTTGCAGCAAATGAAGAAAGACAGAAGGCACATGGAAAAAACTAGAGAAGAACTGATCAAAAAAGCTAAAGGGCTACTGGAACAAAATAAGCTGAGGAGATACCACGGTACACTTTTAATTTATTTTGGAATTTGGAATGATTGAGAAATGACACTGAAACCAATGTGAAAATGTTGTCTCCTTGTCAGTGAGCTTACGGAGGGAGCAGTTTGCTAAACAATAGCTCCGAGAAGGCTCATCTCTATAACAGCATGCTGGAAAGATTCAATGTTTCCTTCCACTTTTTTTGTGGCAGTCTTATAAATCTAAAAATATCCTGGCTTTTATAAACCATTCAGGTTGTGTCCCATGTATGTACAGTGCCCAGAGAGCTATCGCAGGCCACTGTGCTGTTTGAGGGCCAGGGCAGCTGACATATTCTAAACCTGCCTTTAGCTGGTGCTTACAGAGTTTTTTACTGTGTTGATAGGGCTTCTAGTCAAAATGCCAGTGTAATACTCTTTGTTCCTCCTATCCATCTAATGTGCCTAAGTTTCTGCCCTGGAAGTTACAAGCCTGTCATGACAATCTTGACAACCTTGTTTTTTAACAAGGTAAAATCTCACTGAAATCCCAAATTTTCTTCGTAAAATTATTTTCAAGTTTATACTTCAACAATCCTCACTGTTACATTCCCGTTATAGAAAGATGAGGTTTAGTCACTTTGATGTTTTGAGAGCATTCTCAGCTAAATCACTAGGAGTCTCAACTATTATTAGTAGCTTTATTGGAAGGAGAAGACAAGCCAATCCTTTCAGTTATTCTCTAAGAGCACTCTGCAACATGGTGAAGTTGTATTTTAAAAAAAACAAACTTGGGTACTTAAAGCAGTGAATCTGTAGTAGCATGGAGCTGCAAGGCAAGCTAATTCACCTGGCTGAGATAAGCCCTAAATGGCTCCTGCATTGTCTTAAATTATGTTATCCAGTTAGGTAAAATAAGGGTTATTTCACAAGGATTCAAACAGCTTCTGCAGGTTCTTTAAGAAGCGTTGCTACCTCTGAATTATTTTTATCAGTCATCAGACCTGTAGGGTCTCATAGGTAAGTGCATTTGCAAACATGTTTCTTCACAAGGTATGAAGGGAAGAGCATATTCAGTAGGTAGCGTGATCCAGCCTATATTTAATATCCTCCTAAGACTGCCGTGCTGACAGTCACTCTCAGTAACGTACCATACAATCCTCCAACAGCTGGGTTCTTTTTGGTAAGTTTCCGAGAAGCAGTTGTCCTGATTTACTGAAATATGCCTTGAAAGAAGGAATCTTTTAAGACCCTTTGCAGACTACTCAAAGTATGTGGCCATAAGACTGCTGCACTACACAAGGGGAAGTTTATGTGCCAGCTGTTGATAGCACATTAGCAACATAGGAGGAATCATAGTTAAGTGCAAAGGTAAGTAACCGTTTCCCATAATCTTGGGACTTCTGTATAAAACAAAGCTGTACAAAATCTCTGTCCCTACAGAGCTCAAATTTTGCATAAATCTATACCGCTAAATATTCTGCTACAGTAAAGCTGTGGACTTCAGACTGTGGTAAGCATACCAGTCTTCACAGGTCTGGAGCACTTACGGTGTAGGTGAAACCTGCAGAACAGCCAGGCTGAATTAAACTTTGGTTTTGGACCTTGTGTTCTATCTCAGTGGATAGATAGAGCCTTTTGTTGCAGGTAGTTGTGTGAAAATTCAGTTGTATTTATAGTGAATGTAATTTTAATTAAGATTTTCACTGACGGCTTTTTTTAGAGAAACCTTTTGCCGTGTTTTAATGTGTGCATTGGCCAACTGAATCTTGTGAGACCAGTTAGTCATTACTGTCTTCAATAGACCTTAGGATGAGGTCAACAAGACCAAAGTGTATTATTGTTTTCTTGTGTAGTTCGTGAGGAATGGAAGAAGAAGTACTTTGAAACTAAGAAAGCTACGGTTTCACTGGAGGATGCTTTAAACAAACTGCGACAAGATTTAGAGCTCTGCCACCAGAAATTACTCTTGCAATTGGAAGCCAGAGACAGCCGAAAGCAACCAAACAATATGACAAACTCCAAGGTATTTGCTTGTATTATTTAATCTATTTGCACAGCCTTTTTTTTTTTTATAAAATATAAATTAAAGTAACAAATTCATCACCAACCAATGACTTGTAAACTAGCTTTAACAGCTAAATATCCCTCAATGATCTGAGGTATATAATTATTTCAGTCAATTCTTCTCAAAAAGACTGAAGAAGTGCTTGAGTCTGAGCATTTGGTTCTTTCTGCTTTGTGTTTGTACAACATGCTATGTGCAGTGCTGTGGCTGGCCTCAGTCAGGAGGAGCTGGGGTCTGGGGACCAGATCCTGCTGTTGCTGGTTTGCCTCTTCCACCAGCTTTGTCCTCACTGGTGACTCAACCCAACAATATGGTGATTCCTCAGTAGCCCCCAACTAGTCTGATGGCCCTGGCTGTTTTTTTCTTGCATGACTGTGTACCTTTCCATGCTTTCTCAGTGGTCTGAGTCAGGGTTACACCACTGTGCAGTGTCAGAGCTGGAACTTGGACCCTTTTACAGAGGCAGCTACACCCCGGGGTGGGGAGAAGCTTACAGCAGGAGCTTGGTGATGAGAGGCTACAGGTACCACTTAATGACTTCTTGTATGGGCAACTTTATCGCATCACTTGCTTCAGCTGGCACTTCAACAGCATTTTTAAAGACCTGGAACATCAAGAGATTACCACCACACCTCAGTTTTACTGACTTCAAGGGACCATGGCTGACTTACATGAGCCGAGTATCAGAACCTACCTTTTGAAAACATTAATTTTAGTTTTACACGTTAATTCAAAGACAGACCCACCCACAGCTACTGCTGAAATCATGTGCTGTATAACCAGGAATTTATTTGCACTAAACATCACATGAGTGTAGCAATCTCATCAATAAACAAAGTGGTGCTAAGTCTGTTAGAGGAAAAAAATATTATTTGAAGTATGTCTTTTTATTGTAAATGGGGAGTAGCCATAAAAGATAATTGCAAAACAATGTGCTATTACTCAGGAGATCTGGATCTTAACTTCCCAAAGCAATAGGGAGTGGAAGAACCTCTGCACCCAGCTGAAGGGAGCTGCAGTCTCTACAAACCAGAGACAGCCCAGCATGCATTAAGGACTGGAGGAAAGCCGAGGAGTTGGAAAGAGTTCAGAGGATTGTTTTGGAGTGGTGAAGTAACACCCAATGAATGAACAGATGCACTAACTCTGCATGTCATGTTTTGTTGTTGTTGTTTGTTTCATATAGAATTACACAATCATCCGGATTACTACAGTGCAGCATGAACTCGATCAACTGAGGAGGAAGCTGGATGATACAAAAATGAAACTCATAATAGAAATTAAGGTACACTGCCTTTTAATTAAAACAGTCAAAATGTTACTATGTATAAAAAAAAACTTAGATCTTCCCAAACATTAAATGATGTAAATATTTGCTAAACAGTTCTTGTTTTATGCTGTTAGTTTTAGTTGTCATTGTAACTTAATCATTTTAGTCAAATTACTCCAGAACACCAGATTATTAGATGATTTTGAATGTATAGCATTCAGGCATTTAGCTTACATAGTTCCTTGGAAGTCTAAGCTTCCCAATCTCTTTCATAAAATTACCATTTCACTCTAAAAGTAATGGAAGGAACATACGTGGGTGAGGCACTGGTCACTAGTAGACTATGGCTAAGAAAAAAAAAGTTGTATAAAGAAAAAAAAAAAAGAGAAAGAATGGATCTCCAAGCAGGCAGGAGTCCTCTTAATCTGCTTTATTCCATACCAGTGCTGCCTATGGCTCCCTTTGGAAGGAAGATGGTGGTACAGGCCTTCACCTTGGATAGCTTTTCAGCTTTGAGTGCTTGAAATAGGAGTCCTCTACATCACAAAGATCGCCCCTGTTTACTGGGTAATCTAGGGTGGATGTACTCGTTATGCCTCCTCCATTGTATAACAAGGAGTGGAAAGAACAATGAATTTCACAGCTGTCTCTTAAAAACATGAAGGTGAAGTACAAAACAAAGTAGTGCTAGAACTAGGCTATCCAATTAGACATGTAAAATTTTAAAGATGAAAGATGTATCCTGTATTCAGCCATCCTGTATAAAATTCAATCTTAGTTATATAAAAACCCATATGCATGTCAACTCCACCTTCCTTAAATCACAGTTCCTTAAATTAGTTTTTTCTGCAGATGAGAAAGCAGGCAATATCTGATTTACGAGCACTGAGAGCAGAACTGACGCAGAAGAAGATTCATTCAGCTTTAATTCTCCAGAAAGTCAGGAATTTAAGAGGATGACATGACTTGAACAACTGTAAAGTCTTCAGAAGCTCTGTAATGTATATAGAAGCTCAGAATTTCAGAGCATTTGTTTGTATATTCTTGAAATTATCTTGTAAAGACATCAACTATATAAATGTCGTAGAATTTGTATACTAGGATACTGAGGTACTACAGCTCACTTCTTTTGAAATCTCATTCTTACTATAAGATTAGTCAGCTACTTAAACATACAGTTTAACCTAGTAACATGTCTAAAACAAAGCAAAGTTATTTTAAAAGTGCAAATTAGTGAATTGTGTAATATCATATTAGTATGCTGATGTTCTTTCATTAACAAAATACCTACTAAGCAAATAAACCTATAATCTATAACCTCCTGCCCCATGGACATTAACCTTCTTCCATAGTTAGTGGAAGATGTAAGCTTTGTCTTGGACAAGCTGTAATGATGATCCTGGTCCTACTTAACAGTATTGCATACTCTGTTTTTCTTTAAGTTCAAGCTCATGCATGTGCTTAGATAACAATTCTCTGAAAGAGTAATCAGAAAGCTCTTCATAGTAGTTTTTTCTAGCTCTCCTGCTTGCTTCTTTGCAGTCCAAGATGTTATTACATATGGTAAAGATTTAACAAAGATTTTAGTGCTGAAGTATTACATTAACTATTAAAACTACAACCACTTTTGCTCAATTCAGGATTGACTCCTACACCCTGTATTTCAGAATTATGTCTTATTTAAGACACAAGATCAGGCACTTAGCTACTCGAAAATCTGAACCCAAATTAAAAACTAAAAAATATTAACCCATGATTCTTGACTCCTACAGGAAAAAGAGTTTTATTATGAAGTCCTCTGGCCTTCAGTTAGGATTTGGTAGCTCAGATCAGCTGCTCAAGAAGACCTCTCAATTTCACAAATATCTATCTATGTATCTCACAGTATTTTAGCATATGAATACAAATAGTAATATAAATTCTGAAGTATCTATATGTCAAATTAAATGTAACCGTTTCTCCTAAAACTGACAGACCAGATTCTAGTGTAGAGCCCTCTGATTTTCCAAGGGATTTTTTTTTATGTGAGAGCAGTAGGTTTTACCTGCTGCTTTCCATTCCCTGTAGTATCAAGCAGTCAGACACTCATGTGAAGTCTTCTAGTCTTCTCCTCAGTAGCCATTATGGTAGTGCTGCTATTCTATGGTGTTTTCCCAGTATAACTATTTAGCAAGGGGGAAAACCAAAAAAAAACACCCCACATGACTACATATATCTAATTAAATAAATGGTTTCATTAATGGAGTCACTTAAGCAGGGCACAGTTGCACTTTAATCTGGTTGTGAAACAGTTCTGAGAAGCAGAGAAGCAGTGTGGGCTGTAAGCGGTGGAACAAGTAAAGCATAAACAGGCAACACGGTTTACCAACCTCAGTGAAGACAGCATTTTATTTAACAAAAAAAAAAATCCTGTAAATACCAGCCAATCTTTCCATGACTACAGATATATTACAAAGCTACACAATTTCTCTAGGTAAATTACTTTATGAAAAGTATAAGCTAGGAAGAAAATATAACCTCATTATTTCAGAGGTTATACCACATAAAACCAAACAACAGGCTACCAAATGAATCTTAAAGGGTGTAGAAAAATACATGTGCAGTTCATTAAATAAGCTTCTGAGTTTTAGTTTTCAGGAAGTAAAGAATTTTGAAATGGACAAAAACATCATCCAAGTCCTCTCCATATTAATGCTTCCTCTTCAAGATAAGATTTTTGGCTTTTGAAACTAAGGAATTTACATGATGCATAAACAGAGTAAAACTGTATTTTCAGTTACTGAATACTCCTTTCTAAGAACAAGTCTGATTGATTGATTGATAAAAATCTTAATAGCAACTACTTCATGTTACATAATTTCTTCAGTCTATAAAATATTTTAATCTCTAGAAGAGTAACCAAGTACAAACGCAAGTTTCACCAAGCTGCATGTAATCAACAATCTGTCTCTCTGGTGTTCTGTGTTTACTCTGATTCAAGAGTGACTGACTTTGCTAAAATGTAGGTTGGGGTGGGAAGTCAGAAAGCTGAGACTGCACCATGTGGCCACAGAATGAGTACTTTCTGCACCAGGCAGCCTTAGCAGAGGACCATTATTAGATTAGACTGCTCCTGTAAATCCACTTGGTCTTACTTGTTAGCAGATACACACTGGGTTCAAGCTTTAACCAGCTTATGGTAGCTGTTGAAAATGAATAAGATGAGCAGATAAGTCTTTTAAAAAAAAACACTGCTAAAGCACCATTGGAACTTTTTGAAGAATGAAAATATGGCTTTGCATACAAAACAACAAGATGAATCTGGCTAGTTATCAAAGTTTTTTGTAATCATAGTATATTTATATAAAGTCAAAAGCTATAATAGTATAAGTCATAACAAAAAAGTACCAATTTTCATCATTCTAAATCAAGGGTTCACATAATTCTTACAGTGTCAGGGCTTGCCACATTGCTTCAGTTTGCTGTTCCGCTATGGTTTCCCTGGAATAGTCAAGACTATTTCCATTCCACATGCCAATGCCCTTTAAACCTCGACGTTTCACATACGCTGCTTTTAGAGAGATGCTGTGCGGGTCATCATACCATACTTGGTGGAAGCGACCAAGCGAATCCTAGAAAAACATTTAAACACTAGTGTCAGTATCTACCTATCTATATAAACATGATACATTAAAGTTCATCAAGTTTTCATACGTTTGCTGTGGAATGCAGTGAAAAGTATAATTAAAAACTCAAATAAACAAGCTATGTAGATTTACATAATGATACTTCCCTGATTTACAAATTGTTTTTCAAACAGGACAATTAAAAATCTTAAGTCAAATACTTGGCTATTTTTTTACTTGTCGAATCTGAGTTATGTTAGATGAAAAGACTTAGCTAATTTGTATTTTAATAATTTTTAAAAATACAGCTAAAATCTTAGATAGAGATTAAGTGCTTTTTTCAACAATAAACAGTTTTAGAAGAGGTTGTAAAATTTTGTCAAAGTTATGCTGCTTTTACCTGGTCATTGCTTACAATACCATTTAAATCATCCTAAATGTGAAACTTACAATTATGTCTAAAGAAACAAGATGAAATGCATACTGTGTTGTTCACCTAAGCACAATCATTCATGGACTCTTTCACCATGTCTATGTAGAAACCATAGAAGAGAAAATGCATGCAAGCCACTGGGTTAGAAAAACTGAACAGCATCTCAGAATCTGTTTTAGTTTAAATCAGTCATCAACTCATAAAATACAACAATGAAGGATGGAGCCACAGGATTTTTTTGTGCCAAAACATCCTTTTTGATATGATACAATCTCTCAAGAAAATGGCAAAGTGATAAAAATCTTTATTACTCCTGTAGCCTTCATTCACTACTACATGAAAAAAAGAAGTATAAAACACAAATGGAAGAATCTAACCCTGAAAACTTCATAGTCAAAGAACTATGGTTCATGAATGTTTACTCTGCAACATGGTCTTTTATAGAGACACCTACCTTGTATTCATAAAATGGAGATTTCTGTACCTCATCCCACAGCACCCCTGAAAGAGAACTGTTCACCTGCTTCATTATTGCTCCATAGGGGACCTGACGCCCTGCAGCATCACTGCAAGGAGCCCCACGGAAAGGTACTTTGGAAAGGGAACAAACGTGATCCTGAAAAAAAAAGCAGAAGGTATGAGTTTCATGTTACATAGATTTATTGAACTCCAAAATACAGTACAACCAAGAAAAAAGTCACGAAAGGCACTGGCGTCTCAAAAATGCCAAATCTTCAAGTATCTGTGGCAGACGTGCTATTTGTAGACAAAAGTAGCTTAAAACAGTTAAATTTTGTTTATTCTCTAGTAATACAGGATTGGATGGACATCATTCATCTTACACAGTTGTCTTATCTTTCCCACTTTCACTTCACTCTTCCATTTCTCCTAAGTATAATGTTGTTTGAGACTCCACAATTTATCCATAAACTGCTATACTTTAACAGTCATAGGTTTCTATGGTTTGTTGCACCTAGTCTTTAGACAGTGAGCTTAGTGACTATGCTGAGAAGGCAGATACAAGTGTTGTGGTGCCTTTGGACATCATCTCTTCTCGTGCAGATAACATCTATAGCTCCTTAGTCAAACATAGTATCATGGGGTTCAGGTTCCCTAGGGAGAGATAAAATACCTTGTTTGGTAACACTGCTCATCAGTTATCAGCCAAGCAAAAATCGCTTGTCTTGAGCCCCAGCATTATGCTTTTATCCATCAGACCACAGTATTTCCTAATCCAAAAACAGGATCACCAAAATCTAGCTGCCTCCTTCCAAGAAAAAAATAGCAGGAAGATTGCAGATGAATAATCTTCATCATACCTTAGATAGATCTTGGCAGACATAGTCATAGCCATACCAGGGGACACCCATCACAAGTTTCTTAGGATCAATGCCCATAGTTATGTACTCTTCATATCCTAGTTTTGAAGGAAATACAAAAGAAGATGCATTACTGCATTTTCCCATGCTTATTTATATATTTTTAATAGTAAGTTATATACTAAATTAATAATAAATAATATATATTTATTCTTAGAACTAAACTACAGACAGAGCCAATACAGGACTTCCATGATTCCCAGACAGAGGCTAAGGTGCAAGCTCTTCTTTACCTCCCACCTGCATACTCCTACACTTGCTCTGTTCAGAGCCTAGTAACTGCTCTAGTTGCTCACACTTAAAACCAGCTGCCCACAGCAGCAGTTCACAAGGATGAGAGACCAGTGTTGCAGGTTCTTTGCAAGCCCAGGCAGACACCAGTGCTTTGGGTGCCGTCTGTCATTCTAACACTGTTCTTCACAATTGTGAGGGATACACAATTACTTTACAAGTAACAGCACACTACTACTAAAGGTCTATCCATAGTGTCGTAACGATCTGAGATACTCTTTTCACATTAGGACATATTTGAGCATGCTCAAA